ACTGTTGTCACGGGCCCTCGTGGGCCCGGATCCTTGAAGATCGACGGTTATAGGGTGCAGTGGTGGTGGGGGTTGTGGCCCCTCAACCAGACGAAGATAGGCGACGATAACATTTAACTTGACTTTACATTTTGCCTGGGAATACAGACTCCTGTTTGTGTTCTCTTTCTCACGCTTGCCCACGCCACACGTACAAAGGTATTTTTCACGGAAATCCCCGTGACACGTGCCTCTATAGGGCAATTATCATTCCTCGCTCCATGTCCGAGAGCAGCGTCCCGTGGCCCATACGTCGCTTGCAGATGCGTTCGTTGACAGTGTCTAGGTCATTAATAAGTATTTATCAATTATTTACACCCTTGGCTCGTGAATTTGACTACCTTATCGACCGGAACTTTGTGTGGGTCTATTTCTCTGGGGCGGTTTACTGGCCGGGAAAATCGATTGTGAGTGATTTTAAGTGATGCTCAGGAGAAAAGGCGGCAAATCGTATATCAAAGTGATCGTCCAATCATTAGCTTTCAATCAATGCAATTCCTTTTTCTCAAATTTCTATTTGTCAAAATTTATCGATGAAAAACTGTATGGGTCTATTCATATGGCGCGTACTGTAGGCACCGTGGCACCATCTGGACGATTGCGCGAGTTGCGGACAGCAGGCCGGTACTCAACAAAAGGCCACATGCCGATCTTTCCAGTGAACATGGCACCAAGGGCCTCATCGAATCTTGGACGCACCACGGCGGCCAAAAACATCGCTTTGGGGATAAACCGTTTGCTTATGACAGCGATCGTCGGGCCCTTCACAAGGTACACCTTACGTCGGTCCTTGTCGGCGTTAATCGACTTTTCGTCGAGGTGAACAATGTCCCACATGTCGTCAAACTCGAAGTGCCGCTGGCCATCGTCATCGCCAAAGCCGGCGGTGAGCGACAGAATTCGACGAGTTCGAGCATGTTCGCCACCGTGATCAGAGGCTTGAGTCGAGACGAACGCCGTTTCAGGGTTCCTTTGCGAAAGCTGCGGTACACGGCAGACAACGACAGTCCGGTGACCTCGGCGATATCACGCATGGTTGAGCGTTGCTCCTCGGGTACGTCGCTGATGAGGACGGTTATCTCGTCATCCGTGTGGGTTGGTTTGCGTCCAACACGACCAGGCTTCGCTGATGGCATGTGGCTGTTTCGCAGGAATTTGTTCTACACGCGAGTCACGGTGACGCGGTGTATGTTCATGCGTCGAGCTGTAGCCAAGATGGCACCACGCACCACCTTTCCGCCAGACATGGACTGATGGAGCTGTGCGACGACCTCCAACTTCTCCTCGTAGGAAAGCTCACGTGTTTTGCGCGCAGTGTTCATGGTGCCGATTTACCCAGGTCCCGTAATTTTAAATGTGAAATAATGATTTCGTATTTTTATTCCGAAGCTATTTGAGCAATCCAAATTTTGGGCGCCAAAACTTCGTTTCCCTCGTATACTGTCAATAGAGACCCCCTCAAACTTTTCAATATCTTTCAAACGTGATTTATTTTATCGAATTTGGTGGGTAATTGATTTTTCGGGGTCGCTGAAATGAGAAGTGTCTCCAGTAATCTGAGCAATGTCTTCCATGTCGTGCCCGCTTGTCGCAGCAGAACGACGCGGCGGTCAGGCTCGAAGCATCGAAGCCGATGTTGAGCCACATCGGCGTGAAATATTTGATCCACAAATCAAATATCGCATTAAGGCAATCTGCCCATTATGCATGTTACATGAGCCTTGCGCAAGTGAAAGCTAATGGAAGCCACATCGCTCTAGCGCTGCCTAATGCAGAATTTCTAGAAAGCGAACATTCTCGTAGTCTAGCTTAGCCTCGGCTTAATCAATCACTTTCCAATTAGCACTCAGTTAGTTACGAGCCCATTTAACCTCCAACGCCGCCGAAGCCCAGCAAAACCGCGTCAAGAACCCCAAACCCCGCACTTAGCCGAAATTTTCTCGCACCTTACCGGGTTTTCTGCCGCCGCCGTCGAAGCCGTCCGCGTCGTCAGCCAGCGTCCCCAGCGTCCCTCCGACCAGCTCCACATCACTACAGCTCTACCTGTTCTCCTTTAGTGAGTATGCTAGGCAGTACCTTTATTGGGAAAGACTCTAAGTGCGAGTCTGGATTGGCACTAAACTCCTAGTAGGGTGTGCCATTTTATGCGAAATCCTGTCAAGTCCCTCTTTAGTGCGACCGAAGGGAACAAGTTGCGCAAGTAGCGTCAAGTCAAGGCGAAGAAAACCGCGCCGTTGAAAAACGTTTTTTGCCGCCTTAAGGAAGACACCAGTGCAGATAAAGTTCAACAAGACCTTGTTGACGCACTTAAGCGAGTTGAGCGAATTTCGAAGCATCTCCAAGAAGTACTTGTTGAGGATTTTTCCCATTCCGACCCCAAGGTCGTCGACTACAACAAGTACCACTTTCGAACTTTCTCCCTGCTGATTGAACAAGCCACCGACCTC